ATAAAAAGTTATATTCATTTTTTGTCACAATATATCAAGGATAATTTATTAATTGTAAAATTAATCAAGAAATAGTTCTTACCATTTTTTCTGCAGTCTTGGGTGTGAATGTTGATCGAAAGAGACCCACACCCTATATGCAAACGACCCCTTATCCTAAGTAAACCTACATATTACCTTAACATATAATTGACTGAAGTTCAGGTGTTATGCTATTTCAGGCTATTTAGTTTCTGTTGTGGTTATGAAAGGTACTACGCTATCTCGCTGCTTTTTAATCGAAGAACTTTTAAATCTTTACAAAGCCAGAAAAGTTTAGAAAAGTATTAGAATCATTTATTTTACACTCAAGTAAGACTATCAATTCAAAAAAAGAGCTGATCTAGTCGGATCAAATTTTTCGTTATAAATATGTAACAACAAATAAATTATTCAGTCGCGGTTGATTTAGAGAAACTCGAAACGTATTTTTCAATCGATTTCATTATATTAAATGCTTATCAGACAGTTATTGTGAAGAGTCAACATGAGAATATCTGATCTTTTGCTTTTTGTTGTAAAATATTTAAGAACTGATCTAGCAGATCGTTTCGATGATATTTAATAATTATAATGTAAAATATGGATGCTGATATTTTGCACGAAAGAAAATATTTTTTTCTGATCAAATCTGCATTTTCATAAAACAATATTTTGAACATGAAGAATACTGTCGTAGTCTTTTACAGTTCGAATAGATTCATGATGGCAAAGCGTCCATGAAATACGAGAGACAGAGATCCAGATGAGTGTTTGAATCATCTTTTCAGAGACTTTATTCAATTAATATTTTGGTCATAGTTTTCATTATTAGTTGTATTTCCACTCAATAAAATGCAGTGTATGATAGGATTGGTGAACGATGAACACAAGGAACGATAAACGCAAGAACGTTCAGCACCGAAAAGGCAGTACAATGCGAAGGATTAGCAATAATTTCCACGAGAAAATGTTTCTTCCATATTTTTTGCGAAATTTCCTTGTCTAGCTGCATTCAAGTATATTTTCCAAGAACAATCGGCTTATGACAATATTTAGTTTTATTTTTCTCTTCCGTTGTATGCACAATATTTGATCGAGTGCTTTTTGTACATGTACTTGTAAAACAATACGATCATGAAGAGAGAATATGATAAAAAATAAACCACCCATGTCGCAAAAACCGAATAATTTTTGTAGCGGCAAGCCGCGATTTTTTGCTGCGATGGGAGCCGGTAACCGGACTGGTAAGACCGCGGTAAACCGCCGGTTTTGATCCAGTTTTCACTACATGGGTACGTTTTTTGAAATGATTCAAAGAACTTTGTTTCTACTTATGTTAAATCCATCGTAAGAAACATATATCGAGAATATTGATAGAGTCATTTAGACTAAAGTTCTATAGATTGTTCTGTTTTATCTCCCTTCTAATCTTTAAGTTCGTTTTTTAAGAATGGACCAAGATAGAAATTTTTGAAGTATTTAAAAAACCATGAAAAGAGGCATTGCTTCTACTTAATGTAATTGAATATTATGAAGCTATGTTTATTTCAAATGATAAAAAAAGTTAAGTAAATTTAAACTTTTAATATAAAAAAATCCAAAATGATTGAAAGAACAAATCACGGCTTAGTTATGGGTTACGCTGCAGAAATTTAAAACCTCATTTATGCTTCACCAAAACATATATTACTCATTATTTAAATTATTTTGACCATATTTTTTCCACCACTGACATGAGAAAAACGACTTCCCTATTTTCATTATTCGTGTGAAAATTCTTTCTTTTCGTTCTGTCATATGCGAACATATATATCATCGCAGCTGACACCACGAAAGAAAAACTATAGAAAAGCAACAGAAAAATTGTTATTGCAGGGAATAGTATTTTAAAACATTTTCTTTGCCACTACACCATACCCCGCGCTAATCTTCTATGGTAATACTAAGTTTTTGGTGCTCTTTCCAATGATGCCACTCTTTCGAATTACACTTTTAGTTGATTTTTTTACAATCAGTTAATATGGTTATGATGTTATATAGAATATTAAAACTTTCTTTCTTTTTTTCTTTTCTTGTATGATAACATCTGTCGACAAGTGCTTCTAACGCGGTTGAGTATGGTCGTATAACAAGGAAAATTCTGTTCCTATTATGATTACAATAAAATTTTTCATTACAACTAAATTCATCTTATCTGTTTTTTATTAAAGCATCATTTTCTCAAGTTGTGCTTACTAATAATGATTTCATATACTGCAACTGTCACGGGCCCTGTTGTCACTTATGCCATTATCGCCCTATTCTCTTGTTTTCTTCTTCTTCACTCATTCGCGATTCTTTTCTCATATTAGCATTGATTTCGCCCAAAATTGTTTCGTTCTTCCATCCAACTGTCGTCGAACGTAATATACACATACATACATATGAATAAATTGAAGATCTGATTGAATAAGTAATAATTTAATATCATCTGTATCAGCTAAACTAAATAATTTCCATAATTCATCAGCTTCTTTATCAAGTATATTTGTCATATTCAATGATGAAAGTGCATGACGTTCAGTAAAGTGGTGACTTAGGCACTTAACAATATCCACCGGAGATCTATGTGTTATATTTGCTTCTGTTAAGGCCGAAAAGTCAACTGATTTCTTTTTATTCAACTTTTTCACTGTTCGCCAGAATGATGATGGATTTGGAGAGGCAACATTTGATATAAATTGTTCCCAACTTCGTTGTTTAAGTGCTTGAAATTCTTGTTTAACAATTACATTCCAAGACCGTAATCTTAATCGATCTTCTTCCAATCTTGAATGTCGATAACGATTTTGTAAATAATGTTTGTGTCGAAGCAGTACTTGCAGTGATGGTGAGATAGATGGCCGTTTTCGTTTGACTTCTTTCCATATTGTTACTCGAAGTTTAAGAGCAGCCAAGAATTGTTCAAGTATAAGAAACCATTTGTGTGCGTTGTTGGCGCTGTTCGAAGAATTTTCTTGCTCGACTTTAAATTGATCAATAAGAACTGTTAGAATTGATGAGTAGATTTTCCAATAAGTTCGAGGTACTACATGTTTGTCCATTAATACATTGAGCCGGAAGAATTTCGTGAGTATAGGTAGGTGATCACTACCTGTATAAGATAAAGATTTGCTTTCAGAAGCTTCAGGAATTTCACCAGATATAACAAGATCAATTGTTGTGTTGGAACGTAGAGATGATTTAATACCACCATTAAGTACATTTAAATTATGTTGTATGAGCCAATTAGCCAACTCCCGACCCTTAGTGTTCACCTGCGGACAGCCCCAGTCAGGATGTTTGGCATTTAGATCTCCTGCAATGATAACGTTCTTCGCTTCATTTACTAACTTGGTCATCGTAGTCAAAGGTAATTGTTCAGTAGGCGGTGAATAGATACTTGCGACAACAAATTGTTGATCATCTATTCTAATTCGAACAGCAATTAGATTCGGTTCATTAGTTTCTATTTGCTGACATGATAATCTTTTGTCAATTGCAAGTACAACACCACCATGTGAATTAGTACCTTCTTTGAAAAAAACATTGTAGGAGAAGAGAAGTTGATTGATTATTTTCTTTGGGATGGTGGTACCAAGTTCGTTGAGAGAGATTATATTTGGAGAAAAGACGTTTACCATATCAATAAGCTCGGCTTGATTTGAATAAAAATGACGAATATTATAATGTAACAATGACATGCATTTAAATGAAATTTCAGGTTGACGATATTGCTGTTGCCAATAACTAGAAAGTTCTTGAATACTCCAGGTCCAGCAACAATCATGCAATGTTTCAATCCCGATTTGTTTTTGATGATCGGAAAGATCATGCATTAAAGGTAATAATTTGTCTGTTAATTCGGTGTATTTGTAACTATTAAACTGCAATAAATTTGAATTATTAGTGAGAGACATTGGCTGTTGGAGAGTCGGTGTGGTCGGATAATAATTGCTGATTATGGTGATCTACCTGGTGCTTATAGTTCATCAATATATCATTCATTTTATTATTTAATTTTTTAAACTCTTCTTGATTATTTCGTTTTTTGGGTGATTGTGATGAAATACGGCCTAACACTTGAATTGATGGAAGAATAATTTCATTAATAGTCTTTTCTATTTCCTTTTGCCGATCAGAATAAACATTTATTTTCTTTTCGATTTCACAAAGTTGTGATGACAGACGAAAAGAGAAATCATCTAAGCGTCGTTCCATCTTGTTTAAGAATGATGATAAAGTATATTCAATATTTTGTTGAGGACCTTGTTTACGTTGCTGCTTGGCCATTTCAGCATATGATTTTTGAGAAGATTCCGCGGTTTGATGTGGCATTTGAGAAGAAGGAGGTTGAAGGTTATCATTGCCTAATGTTGGATATTCACGTTCATGACAATCATATCGATGCTGTTGACGTTCAGCAAGCACTAACAGTTCGGCCCTTTGTCTTTTTGATTGTTCTACAAGAACTCGACGTTTTTCTTGTACAATTGGACAAGCCGAGTGACCAGATATGTGATCACCACCACAATTGATACACCTTTCTTGATTCGGGCAACCATGCTCAAGAGAATGTTCTTCAGCACATCTTGGACATAAACGACGACGAGTGCAGGACCTTGTTGTATGATCATGTTTTAAGCATTTTAAACATTTATTCACACGTATTGGTAAATGATAAGGTTTAACCGGATGAATCATACTACCAACATTAATTTTTCCTGATCGAATAAGAGTTTTAACTTCTTCGATAGATTTAAAATCGGCTCGAACTGCATTTAATGGCGACCCATCTTTTACCCGCATTCTTGTAATTTTATATAAAGAGACATAACGTTGTTGTAATTCAATGAGCCATTCATCTTCATTCCAATTGCGATGAAATTGTTGAATGATAAGTGAATATGCAGGTGGAAGTTGTCGAGGAACTTTTACTTCAATATCTACTTCTTTTAATGCTTTTGGCCACCGATTTGGATCTAATAATGATTCAAAAGTTGATGAGTCATCGGAAAAGATAAGAAGAGAATGCAAATAACCAAAACGTGCAGTTATGGTTAAATCAATTCCATGTTGATTTTTCCACTTCGATATAAGATCGTCCGTTATTTCCTTGATCGAAGTTTGTTGTTCACCAATAAATTTAACAACAATCGGTGGAAATGATATTTTCGAAGTTGTTGTTGGATGAGTCATCAGATGTTGTGTTGAATCTAATTGACGAAGAATTTCTGTTTGCTGTTGACCTATTGGAGAAATGTTACTTCTCGGACGTTTGTTTGTGTTCCTTTCATTGTTCTGCTTCCGATTTTGCACCGGTGTCTGCTGTTGATACAGATCCGGGACCTTTGGTGATTCATATCCACCGTTATGATTATGAATCATAGCGAGGAATATATCAAAAGAAACGAATAAAGAACGTAGGAATCGATGTATACACGACCAAACGATGTGAGCGAATGAAATGACCATGTAAATACATGCCTTGGTTTATCAATAAATCAAAGATGACTACGTAAAAAGAAATAGATGTCCTAGTTATTAATGCAACTAGAAAAAATTTGCATCCATCTTTTAGTGTTGGCTTTTTTATATTAACTATCATTGTATTTAGTATTTCTGTAATGTTCGATTCTCTCCATCGCTTTTCTCTGTGTTATACTCTAATTAGTGCATTCATGATACCGCTGCCAGCAATAAATCTATTTTTCACACATTATTTCCTTATTCCGTCGATTTATCCTAAAATTAATTATGATTTAGATTTTGTCAGAAAATAATTGTTATTTATTCAGAAAAAACAAAAACTACTTGATATCGATTATTTGAATTAGTAGGAACTTTCACAGTTGTTGTTTTTATCAGTGTGTAACTATGTTAGACAACGCATCTGAAAGTTCTATTCGTTCCTTGTTCCATTCTTAACCCTTTACCCCCGGATGTCCACTACAGTGAACATTAGAAAAACAGTTGTAAAAAATTAACGAAGTATGAGATCCAGAAACTCTAAGAACACTTTTTGAAGTAAATTTCATGGGCTATCGATCAGTAAAAATTCCCTTTTATTTCACTGCACTCGCTCCGAAATACACGGCTTATAAAATCGATGATTTTAAAAAAAGACAATTTTGTTGTAAAAGTTCTTCTGTATATTTGTGTCAGACATATTCCGACGATCTGCTATGTGACACATATTGAAGAAAGTGCCCACTAGTGGATTGTTTAGGTTTCAGAAATTTCAGGATAGTTTAGTAGGGAAGATAAGGTAAAGTACAGCATGATCCCTACAGGATTCCTAAAACATTGACGTCTCTGCTTATCAACATCTACAAATCAATATAAAAATTTTGTTTCAACCACATAGAATTATAGAGCGAATAGTTTTCTACAAAATAAAATGTCGCCGAGGTCTCTGCAATGCTTTTTGACTGAACTACATCAGTTTTACTGAAAGCATTAGAAAACTCTTTCAAATTCTTTCCCGTACTCCCCCTCAGGAAAGGGCCGTAAAACGAAAGATAGTATTTGATTGATCTGTTCATATTTTTGGCATATTGGAGACATTAATACTCTATTCCAACGATTCTTTCATCCCTAACCCTTCAGAAACTACTGTCGGGTAAAGGGTTAAGGAAGATTGCCATCGAAATAGGAAAATCATTTATCACAGAGAAATCTTTCAAACTTAAATTCTCTTCATCCTTACCTCAAATTAGAACATGGGCGATTGAAATAAAATTTTTTCGTTAATAAAATTTAGGATCAGTTAATTTTAGATACAAAAAATGCTTTTACACTATCGTCTGACAATGAATATTTTAGTTAAACATAATTATTTACTTTATCAAAAATATAGAGTTCAATATGTTCTTGCGCCCTTTTATGAATTTAAAAAGATGAGTTCAATTTTTTTATTTTATTCTACATTTTCTAAACAACAATGATGATAGTTTTTATCATCATCAACTTAGTTCGTTCATTGTCGTGGTTTTTGCCTACATAATATATGAACAAGTTTCAATTCATACATACTATGTGGACGTGGAAAAAAGATGAAGATAGCAGCAAGAAAAAGGAGAAAACTCTCTATCGTTGAATGACGAAAAAGTTTTTGTTGGCATTGAAAAATAAATCTAATTGCTAATAAAGACCTTTTCCTTTTCATTTAGATATTTTATGCTTTGTTGAACATTTGACATATTACTTGTTTCTGTATAATATCTTCTTGTTTGTCGACTTTTTATCGATTGATAGTATAAAGCTGAAATTTTTGAAAGAAGGATATATTCGCTGACGAGAATGTTATTCAACAGCAGGTAAGTCATTTCACTTCTTACAAATATATCATAAATCAATAAATTCAAAATTTCTTTTACCTGATGCCAATTCAAAGAAGAATTGCATCATTAA